ATTATCATTATTATTATTAATATTATTATTATTTATTATTATTATTATTATTATTATTATTATTACTTGCCTATTAATGAAGCAAATATTGATAGAAATAAAGCAATCGAGAATTACTTTAGCCTTGGTTTCAGCGCCTCGGAAATTCTTGGCTTCCTTCTGAATGTTCATGGAATTCAACTCAGTGTGAGGCAGTTAAGGAGAATTCAGAAAAGTCGCGGTTGTAAAGGGCAGCCGACCGACTTTGGTATCATTGTCCAGGCTATTGAGCTAGAACTGAGCGGAAGTGGAAGCATTATTGTATATCGATCAATGCAACAGCGATTGACGAGATATCATCACTTAGTGGTAACTAGAAACACGGTACGGGAGATTCTTAAAATAGTTGATCCAGAGGGAGTCCAAGCAAGGTCTAGACACAGGTTACAAAGACGAAGGTACAGTAACAAATTCCCAAATTATCTATGGCATATTGACGGATATGACAAATTAAAACCTTTTGGGTTTTGTGTTCACGGCGCCATAGATGGCTACAGCCTAAAGATCCTGTGGTTGGAAGTAAGCAATTCAAATAATGACCCTAAAACTATTGCCAAGTATTATTTAGACTACGTAAGACAAGGCGGTGGAGCCTCGCGCAATATTCGTGCAGATCGAGGAACTGAAAATGGGAGCGTGTCTGTGATTCAACGTTTCTTTCGAAGGGCAGCAGGTGACGAATTTGAAGGTTACAAGAATTTTATGTACGGGCGTTCAACAGCCAACCAGAGAGTTGAAGCTTGGTGGAGTTATATGCTCTGACTGGTGGATTAGGTATTTTAAGGATTTAAGGGATGCTGGCTTATTTTATGGTGATAATATTATTCACGGGGAATGTTTAAAGTTCTGCTACATGGATCTTCTTCAAAAAGAGCTGCACAGTGTCGCGGAATTGTGGAATACGCACAGCATACGACCATCCTCAAACTCCGACTCTCCAGCTGGTCGTCCTGACGGCACGTATTTCTTACCTTAAGTAAACAACACTCGTGATTGCTTAACRAAGGTAGAGGTTGATGAGACTGATATCGCTGAAGAGTTTTGTGATCATCAACTATCTGTGTGAGGTTGTTCTTCGTGTTTCAATGAATTAGCAGAACTGATTATGGAAGATGAAGGACTGGACATGCCAAATACCACTGACGAGGCTAAAAATTATGCTAGGGTTAATTGATGGCTTGCAGCAATTGACAAACATAAATAGTCAGTTAAACGAACAAAATAATTCGCGAAAATTCCTTTTTCCGTTGGTTTGTAGCCTACTCTGCAAGGCCCGATGGCATAAAGCCCCCCTAAAGATTAGAATGCGCGCATTGTTTTACAATGGCCAAGTCTTTTGATACAATGCTTACGGGTGTTGTTATCTTAAGAGAACTTTAATTTATGCAAGCAAGGCCAGGTGTCAATCGATCATTTAATTTTTGCTGGACCTCGTCTTTTTTATGACTGTAAGGCTATAAGGCAAAGAAGGGTTGCCTTAGCAAATTTTAAGAAAATCAAAAGGTCCGAAGTCTACATAGTCGAGTTGCGTTACTGCTGTGCCTTTCTCGTATTGACGTCTGTAGACGCAATTCACCCTAACATGAAGTGTAATGCAATCCATTAATCGAATATCATGCATTGACTTTTGGTAGACGTGGACACCCAAACCAGAGTGCTTAAGTGATTACTCTAATGGCCGTTCAGTTGAGAACTGAGTGATGAACTTTCATGGCACGACAAGGAGATAACTCGTTATCAACTTTTTTTATCATAATTCGTATGCACAAAATATGGCACAGTATTTTAATGTTAGTAAAAGGAAAACAAAAGAAAACGAAAATACTAGAATTGAACGAAGAGTAATGATAAACTCTTTATTATTTGTTTTATAAATAGATATTACCTGTAGCTATTAACTAACTACTCTTTCGTCAACGTTGATATTGACTTGGTAGAAAATAGAAAATTTAAAAGAAACAAGAKTTATAGTCATAATCAAAAGTCCTTTGCGTAGATAATCATTTGGTGTAGAACAATTATGAACTGCAAAGGTAGGTGGACAAAGGGCGACATCCTAACATCTTATATAAACGAAAGAACAAAAGCAAAACATCCAGCGGGAATTACTCCCCTTTCTTTTACTCTTATCCCTTTTGTAGTATTTAAAAAACGAGCAGCAGTGTTTTATCAAGTATAAAAACCCGACGCGTAGCCGAGGGTTTTTCATACTTGATAAAACACGTGCTGCGAGTGTTTTAAATGGCTTAAGAAACTCATCAATTTTCAATGACCATTTTGTCCAATATCGATGAAACTATGAAACCAAAAAATGTAATTAGTTAATTGATAGAAAACAATAGAAATTTTTTAGATTGTTTCCATTTGGGAATATTGTATAACAATAGATAAAGAAAATTAGAAATTCAAATGTATAGAACTTGCTTCAGTTACTTTATTCGCATGTAGCGCCGTACGGGTGAAGTGTTGTGTCGTTTTTCATAGTCTTTGGTATTTAAAAAATGGCAGCGAATCGGAGTTTTAGAGTGCCAATAACAGAAGAAGAAGAAAAGAAAGCACTAGATAATTCGACTCCAAAGTCAACTCGCTATGCCACAAAATGGGCTTTCAAGATATTTTCTGAATGGCAAAGTCAAAGAAGTAACAAGGACCCAGTCAACGAGAGGGGCTCTTTTACGTTTGATTTGGAGAAAGTTCAGTCCTTGGATACTAACATTTGCAATATGAGTGGTTGGCGAAATTTGTACAAGAAGTGAGCAAGGCCAATGGCCAACGATACCCACCTAGCTGCTTGTACTTGATTGTAACTGGCCTTCAACGGCATTTAAAGGAAAGTGGCAACCCTGTTTCGTTACTTGGACAAAACGAAGGATATACTGTATAAAACCACTGTTTTACTGTATTAAGTGTGTTTTTGTTTTTTGTTTAGGCTACACATGTTCAGAAGAATACTGGATGCAGAAATGAAACAAGCAACTCAGGAAGGAGTGGCAAATAAAAGCAAAAAGGAGGAGAGAAACGATATAAGCGATAGAAGAGCTGCATTTGTGGAATAAAGGCCTCTTGGGTTGCCATACAGCTAAGTCTTTGTTTCGAACAATTTATTTCTATAATGGCAAACTGTTCGGCCTAAGGGCAAAAGAGMATAGATCACTTAGATATTCAAATTTTCGAGTAGAACRCAATTGTGTAATATATGATGAAAGTGTTTCGAAGACGTACCATGGGGTGTTAAAAGATTTAAAATATAAGCCTAGGGTAGTGAAACATGTTTGCTGTGAAGGGAAAGAAGTAAACCATTTTCCTTGCCTTGTAAATTGCTATGCTAAGTGCTTAGAAAACATCAAACACCTAAGTGATGAAATAGAGGCATTTTATTTTAAGCCCAATCCAAATTTAGAAGAATTTAGTTTTTGCCGAGCGCCTGTCGGAGTTAATACCCTGAACAAAGTCTTGCCAGAATTATGTGCAGAAGCTGGGTTAAGTCGCAAAACATTGCACTGTCTTAGGATAACATGCGCAACTAGATTGTTCCAGAGTCATACGGAGGAGAAGTTAATCCGTGAACGAACTGATCATCGCTCAAATGCGTTACTAGGCTACGAAAAAGCAAACAAAGAGCAGGAATTAAAAGCAAGCGCAGCAGTAGGACCACCTAAGTTAAGTACAACTGATAACGAGTGTTCAAATAATGATATGTTACAGGATCTTTTTGACCTTGACTTGGTAGATTTTGACATACCAGATGATATTCTGATGAATGTGCCAGAAACTAGCTCTGATACTTCGGCTTTGTGTGCAACAGGTTTAGTGTTTAATAACTGCACATTCAACTTTGGAAAGTAGTTAAGGAATTTAGTACAAATTCTTACGATGTGATGACGGAGTTAAGTTGGGCCTAACTTTAAAAATTAATTTGATAATTTAGTACGACATACGTTGTAATTGATACTAATGTTTTGTTGCAAATGAAAAATGTTTAAAAGCACTATTAGCAAAATTTAAGAAATTTTGAATGTGAAGATCCCGATAAACTTTTATATATAGACACCTGTGACTTTATCATAAAGACACACGTACCTTTATATAAAGGTTTAGAGTAATCAGAGATTCATTGTTAACGTGTTGTATACCCCATTATTCCCCTGGGCCGCATTCAAATGTAGTTTATGTGGTATAAAATGCTGTCCTCGTGATCAGAGAAGAGCATCGGATTGGACAAAATGGTAATGAACTATTAATGAGTTTTCTAATTTATTTTAATATTTTTTAAATGTTTAGCCTATTACGGCCGAAAATCAAACAGTGCTATTTTTAGTTTTTGGCTATTTTCTCCTCATCCTCAGGTACGATTTTTCTGAAATTTTCAGAATCTCATCATCTAGTACTATTGCAGCCTGTGTATAAATTTGGATGGAAAGTCTTGGGCAGAAAAAATGTTATGACGCCTCTTGAAAATTCGATCCAAAATTTGAAGCATATGAAACATCGCGCTTTAGAATCATTACCATTGAATGGATTGCCTTGAAGTTTTCACATATCTATTTCCAAGCTAAGTATTGCGGATGAGCCTTACGGAAAATCAGCATCAAATCTTAAAAACTCATTGAATAAATGTTTTTTTTTACTAATTGTCGTTGCAAACCTCAAAAACGAGAGTTTTGCAAAAAATCAAGTTTTCGCCGTTTTCTTCAAAACGGCTCCAAGTTTTTCCTTTAAAATTCCTACATCAATAGTCCAGAGCTTTATCTAGATGGTAGTGAAATTTCTACAGCTCGTCCTATCCACATTTTGGAGAAAATATTTTTTAAAGCAATCCCTGGTCATGAAATGCCAGTGTCAGTACCTCCTTCAACAGATACTCCAAACACTTTGGCAGCACCACCGCCCACTAAGCAAGGCAAGACAGCAACACCGTGGAAGCCGCAGAGGTTCGGTGATGAAGGCAACAGACTCAAGACTACAGATTCAACCCCTGTACTGACGAAACCACGTTCTGGACGTGAAATCAAGCCACATACGGACCCAGACTTTGTACATGCCTTTGTTAAACACTGCACATTAGTGACCTAACTTAGGTCTCTGAAATAACTGAGACATGTTTCAGTTCAGTATATTAGTATGTTGGTTTTGAAAACCAGTTCAAGAGGGGACTTGTTACCAGTCCCCACGGTCTAAGGCGTACACATTTTAGTCGGCGGCCGCAATGTTGGTTAACTGAAAGAGGGTATCATGCTTAATGAAGCTTTTACACAAATTTTTCAAATAAAGAGACAAAGAAAATACAACAATTGACACAAAATGGTAATCCTGTGCCATGACGCTTGTCGGACGATACGGCATTATGCGGCGCCCAGTGCATAAATAAAGCTTTTTTATAGTAATGACGTCGATTGATATTAACAGCTAACCACAAGAGAATACGACGAAAGATGAATTAAAACGGCACATAGATCACCTTTACCCACGATAAAAGAAAGACAAACACCAAACTCTATATATATACCAGTTGCTGTCATCATTTGGTGGGATGAGACATGTGACATCAGAATTCACACGATAATAATATAATAATATAATAATATATTGTTTTAATGAACTTAAAACACTCATTAATAATTCATAAGCTTATGGTCCAATTGGAGCCACCATACACGTCATATGCATGAACCTTTATAACCGATAAAGTCCTCTTCATTAGTATTCAAGTGATTTTATATAAAGACACATGTGTCTTTATATAAAGACAATTGTGATCTTTATATAAAGACCACTCGAATACTATGAGGATGACTTCATCAGGGATGAAGTATACATCCAAGTTTAGATGAAGACATAGAGCTTCATCAAGGTCATAGTCAACCCTAATGATCTTTGACTAACGTGCCTGTCTTTGCCTTGGCACGCAATATCCAACGTGTGGGAGCTTCTATTGAATCTGGTTGCGCATGCCCGTGACGTCAACCAAAATCTTATAAATTGTTCATGAGTGTTTTAAGCAGTTCAAAAAACTCGTACATCGTGTTTTATCAGGTATAAAAGCACTCGGCTACGCCTCGTGCTTTTATACCTGATAAAACACTCCTACTCGTTTTTTAAACACTACAATCATACTGGGTTGTTATAACAATACATATCATAGGAAAAATGTGTGACATATTTTTTTCTATTTACTCTTTTAGATCTTGTTTTAAACCTTGCTCTATGATGGCCAGCCAAGAAGAAAGGTGAGTGAAATTATTACTAGTTACAGAGATTATTAAGTATTTGCAAATTATTGTACACGTATATTCTGGTTTTGGTGTTAATGACAAGGCATCTGTGAGGAAGAGTTAGTTCAACTTGTCATCCTTTTTTCATAGTAAGACTGCATCATTTCATTTAGAACCTAATTTTTGATTGCTTTAATTTTGATTGATTTTTGAGGTTTAGCTTAATTATTTGGAAGACCAATCAATTGTATAATCCTATGTATTTTTTAAACCAATCATAAAACTTATACCCTGGCCGACAGCCAGCTCCACGGAGGGTCAGAAAAAAAACTTCTGCTCGCAGGGTATAAAACTTATTGCAAATGGCGTGGAAAGCAGAGTGTTAATATATATTTGTCCAATTTGGTGTTTTGCAGAGATAACTACTTCAGCTTGACTCTTCTGCTATTCCATGTTGGGAGCCAAAAGTTAAGAGAGTATTTCAAGACACAGTGGCCAATAGTTTACCAGCGTTTTAAACCTGGTACAGTACCACCCCCTTGGAATGACACACCACATGATGCAGCAGAAATGAAAAAAATACAACCAACCCAACTGAATTTGCTATTCAAAGATGGATGCAAATGAGATTTAAATGACACAACAAGCATTGTGCTGACTTTTGTTTCAGTCTAACAATTCATGATAAATATAAATATAAATGTCTTCAAAGTCTCGGTAACACCCAAAGGCTTTTCCCAAAATATTTTCCTCGACCACGTTGGACAAAGTTTCAATTTATAAAAAACATCTCCATTGATCACCTTAAGCAATTCCATTCTTTCCTTAAATAATTTTATACATCCCGCTGTGTTTGACCTTATTCTCAAATTCCAGGTATGCATGACACTATTCTGTATGCGCACAAGCTCCTTGATTGCGCCATGAACAATAACAATCAGAACGCTATGATGGAGGCGTACTTCGAGCTATGAAGAGCACATCTTCCCTTGAAACACTATCAAGATGCCACTGACTTTGGACAGAAATACATTGAAATAGCAAGGATAATAGAAGACAGACGCGTTGAAGTCTGGGCTTACCTATTAATTGGGCAGATATATAACGCTCTTTCCGACTACGGCAATGCAATTATCTATTGCAAGAAGTGTTGTCTTCTGAGCAAGAATTAATTACTGCGGCATCGCACATAGGCACATATGGTCGTCTTGTGTCTGTACGTCTTCAACGACAGACGAAGCAAACACAAATTTTCATAAACGAAAAGCCAGATAGCATCAATTGGACGCACAGCAACCAACTAACAACAAGAGAGGTTTACGCATCGAAGTATAATCTTCCTGTGCATTCATCAGTTCCAGTTCCAGTGAAGACGGCTCTTGTCAACGATGACCACGTTGAAGCTGACTTCTTTGAACGCAACTAAGGATTTATACGATATGTAAATCAGTAGATAAATCTAATTTGTGATCAATTACAATATTCGTTACTGGAGGATTTACTTAGTCATTTCATGTCAGAGTTTCGGCTCCCCATTTTAGTCTGGTTTGTTAATTACCACAATGAAATTTTAACTTGCTTTAAGTCTGCCATGGGCTAATTAAAATTAAAGACGTCTAACATCTCGTAACTGATAGTATATGTTATAAATAAATTTTGCAATAATCGTAGCCTTTTTATGAAGTTTTCTTCTAGCTTATATTGTTATATCATATGAAATAAGTGTGGTTTTTCTTTTGCAGACATAAATGACTGTAGTCGAGCATTAAAATCATCCGTCGAAAACAGAAAAGAATCATTGCCCAAAAATATTTCTTCCCATGACGTTACCAGTGCAAAGACAGACGACATCTTCACCAATCTGACAGTATATTATGCCAATGAAAAGCAAGAGAAAAAAAAACAGGGATGCACCGAAAAAATGACGGGTTTTAAAGTTGAGAAATACGAAGATATTTGCATTGCCATGAAAGAAGGAAATCGAAATTTTCTTCTTAGCGGTAAACCCGGTATAGGTAAAACTATGCTTGGTGAGAAAGTCATACGAGATTGGTCTATGAATAGATTATTTCAAAAGGAAATCACTCCCAATATTAAGTTCGCGTACCTGTTAAAGTTCCGTCAGCTCAGTTTACAGGGCGACAAAGAAATGAATTTACAAGAATTACTGAATTGTTCGCCCTTTCTTGACGAAAATTCAAAGATAAACGATTCATTATTTGAATATTTGATTACAAATGAATTTTCGGAAACGTACCGTAAACTAATCGCTGGGGATTTTGAGAAAAAATATCCAAACGATTTAACAAAACAAATGCCAATTCTGCAGCAGTAGGTGGACAAAGGGCGAAATCTTAACATCTTATATAAACGAAAGAACAAAAGCAAAACATCCAGAGTGAATCACTCCCATTTTTCTTACTCTTATCCCTTTTTTTTTTCTTATCCCTTTTTTTTTCTCGTTTATCACATGATGCAATGTCAGTAATATAATTCTATTTATTTTCAATGGGAAAGGGCTGGAACAATAATGATAACATTCTTTATAAAAAAGCATTAATGATACTTTATAAAATAGCATTCAACTTGAACAGGGACTTCAGTAAAAGCTGACGAAGGCGTCATCCAATATCTGAACTTATTCTTCTTATGCAATCTGCTTGTACAAAAAGAAACAACGGTTCACTGGATACTAGACCAGTTCAGTCTAAACAATATTGAATGTCCATGATTCCTTTTCTCTCAGGATGTTGGTAAATTCCTCTGATAATTCCTCTGAGACTGG